AGGAACCCACCATGACATTGAACATCCACTTATGGCTCAAACCTCTTGAGGAATGCACAGAGCTTCTCCTAAGGAGGGCTAGGCTCTCCCAAGAGGGATCCAAAAGGATGAATCAAGGGAAGTGAGGCAAGGCACAGGAAACACATAAGAAGAGAGAAAACAATCATGTAAGCCTCTAAGATCCTAATCATGCAATGCCCTGAAGATATCTATCTTAACCTGCTTATGAACATAAGAATGAATTGAGATTGAGCCTATCAAGGCTCCAACCTACTCTCTAGGGGAACATACAAAGAATGGATACACAACTATTGCGACAAGATCACTTATCATGCAAAGTTACAAGAAAACACCAATTGAAACATGCTAATACCAATCAGAATGAAAAATACATGAAAAATAGGAAAACAATCCTAAAAATCCTAATAAAAAAATCCAGGGGTCCCTAAAGGTGTCCAAATACTATGGTTAAAATCTCAAGGCAAAATTCTAAACCTAAGGGTATCAACAGAGTGCAAAATCAAGGGAACTCAATCGTCAGGATCCGAGAGAAAAGGGAGGTCTCAATCGCTATTTCCCATGCGTCTAAACACTACAGCTCACAACACTTGATGGTTGCATAAAAGAAATGAAATAAAGACAATGTTAACGAACGGAGTGGTTTCATTGATCCTTGACTTTTTGCGTGCAAGCTCCGCTTTCATGCCTTTCTTCTTTGATCCTTGATTGTGATATTTCGAATCCAACTTCCAAAAGAGCAAAAGTTCTAATAGAAAACTATGTTCTAAAGAAATTACAAGGAGAATTGAATATGGAAAATTGAAATATGGGATCCCAAACAAAAAAACATGCCACACCTAAACTATAAGATTCTATGTAAAAAAAAGTACATAATATCCTAATGTAAAATAACACTATAATTCCTAAAAGAAAATAGTACCTAAAAATAGAATATAAATCTATATACAATATATGCACATATATTCTAAAAGAAAAAGTTAAAAATTTCCTAAGAGAAAACACTAACGAATATACGATATAAAATAAAATACAAAGCATTAAAGTATCTACAAGAAGAAAATACATCAGGGGGTATAGTAACCAAATAGGGGGTGCTGAATTTAGCAACAATGCAACTGGGCTTTGAGCCCATAAACCTCAAAACACAACAAACACACAACCAAAAAAGGGAGGGGACGATAAGGGAAATGAGGGGTACGCTTGGAAGAATGAAAGTTGGGCCCCAGGCCCACGAACCAACAAAGGATCCGTGAATACTTCGCCCTCTCCTTCCTTCCGCCTAGGCAGAAACCCTAACTCACCGCCAGCTGCGTTCCTTCTTCGTCTCGACCTTCCAACTTCCCCACACCCTTGTCTTTGATCGAAGCCTCTCTCCTTCTCAGCTCTCGATCTTGTTTCCTTCCAACATCATCATCATCTGAACATGGAAACTCGGAGACGGAAGTTGATGGCACAAGAAAGTCTATTGAAGATCTGAAGTTTTCGTTTGGATCTTGAAGTTCGTTGAACGTATTGATGATTGTCGAAGGTTCTTGGATGAACAACGACGAATCTGGAAAAACTGCGATGAACACATGAAGAATCTGAATGTAGCTTTCTGGAAAACGTTCGTGAAGAATTTCATCTGAGGTTGTTACGAATCTTGAAGCAAATACGGTGAGTTCGTGGAGATGAAATTCTGAGCAGTGATGAGTATGTGAAAGGATCTGGAACAAGTTGGATGAAGGTGACGAACTTGGATGAAGTTTGTATGAATGTATGGAGAATGTTCTTGAATTTTTTCTGGAAAAACTTGAAGGTGATGATCGTGATGAACAACAGATGAAGGTTGTTTGGAGATGAAGAAGTTCGTAGGAAGTTTCTGGAAATTTCTTGAAGAACAGATGATGATTGTATGAAGTTGAAGTTTGCAGATCTTGAAAATCTCCGTGAAGAAGATGACGATCTGGAAAAACTGGTGGAGATTGACGAACATGTGAAGAACTCGATGACGATCTTGAACGAGTTGATGGAAATCTGGGAAACGGTTTGACTGCCCATGGAGGTTGGATGAATTTCTGGAAAAAATGGTATGAATATGATGAACATTCATGATGGAATCTGGAAAATTGGATGAACACTTGAGGATTTGGATGGAGATTTGAACAAAATCTGGAAAAAATGAAGAACACTATGAATATGGATGATTTTTCTGGCGATGGTTACGGCGAAGCTGGAGGGCTTTGATTTCGCCGACGAAGCCTTCCGACGGTTTGCATGTGAACGCTGGCGAGACGCCACCTGGCTAGGTTGCATGACACGTATGCAGGTGGGTGTTGGGTGAGGTGTCAACCAACCAGGAGAGAGAGAATGAGGGTTGTTTATATAGCGACACATGACATGGACTGAGACTAAACATTGGACACATGGCCCACGAAAATCTGACTTATTGGACTGAATTAATTGATGATTAAAGCCAAAACGAAAATGATGAATGCTGATTAACTAATATTAAAATCTGAAGGTTAATGCTAAACAGGAGTTAATGCTGAAAATGATTAAAACCAAAATTAAACTAATTAACTAACCACTTGATTAATATTCTAAAAGAATTAATAAACCTAATATAGAACCTATCATATTTTGAACAAATTAATATCTAAAGACTTATTAAAAAATGGAAAAACTATTTAAAAGCCTAATATTCTAATTTATTAAAATTCTAACAATATTCTAATAAGCTCTAAAAAAAATAGAAAAACTATTAAAACCTATTAAATTCTAAAAATAGAAACTAAATTTGAAAAAAACTATCATATAATATTCTAAAACTAAAATATTCTCGAAATGGAAAATTAGATCTAAAAACATTTAAAATCTAAATTAATATGCTAACAAATCTAGAAAATTAAATCGGTGAATATAAAATGCGAGAACGCAACGGAATAACCGGTAAAAAAATACGGACACCGAGATGTCTTCAAAAATAACAGTATAGGCTGAAAACACCGGGAAAAGCACAACTTCCAAAAATAAAACTCCGCTTATCCGAACTGGTTTGAATCGCCTGAAACGCGAGAAGAGGGTTGTGATCCCGACAAAATTAATCCGGATGAAGAAATGAATTGTATGCGATATGCAAATGGGAATGCAAAATGAATCGAAACATAAGCCAAATACAAGAATCGGTTGGTCAAATTTTGGGGTGCAACAAGTGGCATGTGCGGTTTACCTGACAAACCGTTCTCCAACAAGAAATGTGCATGAGAAGACACCACAAAAGCATGGAGTGGAAGGAAGCCAGGAATCTCTCACCTCAAAGTGTTTGGAAGCATTGCCTATACCCACGTTCCAAATGGAAGGAGAACAAAGCTCAATGATAAAAGTGAGAAGTACGTATTAGTGGGTTACGACTCAAACTCTAAAGGGTACAAGCTCTATGATTCAAATAATGGAAAGATTGTCATAAGTCGTGGTGTGGAGTTCGAAGCAAAAGATTGTTGGGATTGGAGTGTTGAAGTATGTGATGTCTCAAGATCAAGCTGTCGACATTTTCACCAAGCCACTTAAGTTAAAAACATTTGCCAAGTTAAGGAGTATGCTTGGAGTCACATAGCAAGTTTAAGGGGGATGTTGAAAGATTAAACTTGATTTGGGCCTAAACATATTATTTGATTTTTTGGGCTTAGTTATTTTGAGTTTAGGTAATTTTAATTAATATTTTTAAAAAACTCTTGTAATGTTTGGAGTGTCTAGATATTTCTTAGGATTGTAATATTTTCTAAAATACTCTTGGAATTCCTAAAATTGAGAACTCTTTAGAATTATTGTGTCTAAAGTTCTCCTTATAGTACTATATAATTCAATTAACTTTCTCAAATCCAACTCAGTACATACATCAGATAGATAAGTTAATTTATCTAACACATTGGACTTGATAATTGATTTATCTGACTGATTGTATAGATGCTGACTTGTGCACATTTACAAGATGGCCAACTACAAGATTATTTTTCTACTTGGATTATTTACTAATCATTTGGAAATCCAAGAAACAACAAGTAGTTTCCCGTTCTTCATCCAAGGTAAAATACATAGCCCTCGCCAACACCACTTATAAAGCCAAATGGTTATTACATATTCTTCCAAGACTTTTCCATTTTACGACATGCCTAGTTACAATATCTTGCAACAACCAAAGCGTCATATACAATACCACAAACTCTATCGACGAGCCAACAAAACACATAAAAATGAATTGCCATTTAATTTGAGACAAAGTCTAAGACAACCTGTTCACTTTCAACCCATACAATCCTCAAACCAAGTTGTTTGACATATTTACTAAGTTCTGATTTCTAAACAGGATCTCCATATCATACACTCCAGTTTGAAGGAGTTTGAGAGAAATGTTAAACTACAGTATTATTTAATTATTAGCATGTAGACTCTTATTAGTTAGTTAAGACAATTATGAGATAGAGATCTTTGATATATTTTTACTTGCTACAAATGGGTGAATGAATTTAAGAGGCGAGAAAGTCTAGATATTTTACACAAATTTGATCCCAACAGTATTTTAACAAATTTAGGAATTTATGTTTTTTGATAACAAAAGTTAAATGAATAGAATCTCATCAGCTATCAAAGTTAGAGCATGTATTTTGTTTTTTAATATTACAAGCATGTTGATTTCCTTTTACTATCAAGATATTATCTTAGTTCAATTCAATTATTTAATAAACAAGTTGATCAACTATTTAAACTCACTTAAACACAACATCATATAAACAACTATATTATTAAGGTTCATCAGATTAACATCAAAATAACCATTACATTTTTAAGAATACAAAATTGACTCATGAATAAAAAACAGAAACTGTTAGAATAGTTAATTACAGTAAGGAATAAAATGAATATGTCTTTCATCCATGACCTTCTTCTATGCCTTCACATGAATTAGTCAGCACCTAATTGTATATCCCATTCATATGCTTTCAAATTAATAATGACATTAACTCTTCTAAATCAAAGAACACGTCAGATGGATCAGGAAAATCATTGCTCATAATGTTGGAGACTCGATAATCGCCGACATCTGTTGAATGCTGTTGTGTTTCATAATTGTAGCCACTGTCGGAAACTTGATAATTAGTAACATCATTTGATTGTTGTTGTGTTTCATAATTGTAGCCACTGTCGGGAACTTGATAATTAGTAACACCATTTGATTGTTGTTGTGTTTCATAATTGTAGCCACTGTCGGGAACTTGATAATTAGTAACATCATTTGATTGTTGTTGTGTTTCATAATTGTAGCCACTGTCGGGAACTTGATAATTAGTAACACCATTTGATTGTTGTTGTGTTTCATAATTGTAGCCACTGTCGGGAACTTGATAATTAGTAACATCATTTGATTGTTGTTGTGTTTCAAAGATATTATCACTGTGAAGAGTTGAATTCAGTTGAGAACTTTGGTCTTCTTGTAACATTGAGTGAGCATCTTCAGATTCTAATGATGTTTTATTAATACACTCAGCTGGAGTCTCAATCCTTGGACTTTTCTTTGACTTTTTTCCACAAGACGGTCTCTTCAAATAATTCCTATATTTCTGCAAAACATTAATGTAATCATAAAGAATGTTAATAATAATAATTATACTCCATAGACTTTTGACAAAATAAATATCAAATCAACCATCAAAATCCAACCTGCAAATGACTAGCCACATGTGCTGTTGTTAAATCCGAAATGTCCATAATTTTGAGAATATTTCTAGGTTTTGCCTCTGAAAAATAAACAACAAGATACACATAAGTTGAGTTGTTAAAGAATACATACAAATAAAAGGAAAGAAATATAAAAGAATCCTACCATCTAAGCCAAGTTGGTTCACAGCATTTACAAACTTCTGATGCAGTTGCCGTGTCCATGATAACCGACTCTTTTTTGACTTTTTTGAATGCCGAGGAGCCTCCAACATTTCAAGAACTTCAGGTTCTTTATGGCTTTGAGCTTTCAAGATTTCAAGATTTTCATCTTCTTGATGACTTTGAGTCTCCAAGATTCCAAGAACTTCAGGTTCTTTATCAGTTCCAACGTTCAAGAATCCAAGATCTTGATGTTCTTTATTCTCCATCAAAGTTTTTCTAGCAACATGTTGCCACATAGTCTTGAATTGTTTTTCATGTAAAGGTTGAAGCCAGTAATCACAGGCGCCATTAATAATAGACTCTATGACAGAGCTTTTTGTGGCATCAGAAGAAATCACTACAAACATAAATAATAATGATGTTAGTAACAGTATAGATAATATTGTTTTACGGTAGAGTTATAGTACAGTATAGAAGGACTTACCAATGACAGGAATTTTGTGGTGTAGGGTTACATTTTGAACAAAGTTATAAGAATCCATGTTTGACATACAAACATCACTCAACAATATATCAAAATAACCCTTACTTTCGGCAAGAAGATTAAGAGCATAAGAAGCAGAAGTGCATTTGGTTACTAGATAATGAAATCTATCACACATTTCTTGAATTTGCTCAAGAAGAATAACGTCATGATGGATGACAAGGACCTTGAGATTGGTTGAGAATAGTGCCATCTCAGAAAACAAGAATGATTAGAACTAGAGTCTTGGAATTCAATAAAGCAGTGTTGTAGTTTGTTGTTATAATTACCGCTATTTAAATAAAACCAAACTTAGTGGATAATTGGGCCTGTCCGGGTTGCAACTCAAGCCCAATAAAACTTAAATATTTAGGTAATTACCTAATTACTTTTGTTAATCTCATCATTATGTTAATTAAACCTTAAATATGCTAATTATCCTAAATAATTTAAATTGTAACACTAATTAATAATTATTATAAAAATGTTAATTAAAACCCTAATTATCCTATTAAGCATAATTTAATTAAATAATCAAGGTCTAATTCTAACTATTAATTAAATTATCTAACCAATATAAAATTAAAATAAATAAAATGGTTGGCGGTGCAACTTAACTTTAATCAGTAATTGGGCTAAGAGGGTGCCGTGTGAAAAGCAACAGAAAGATAACCCTATTCACCAACAGAAACCACATACTGATTTCAATCATCGAGCACTTGCATGTCTTAACAACAATCGAGGAGAAGTTCAAAAGAATACCATCCTTTAGAGACCTGTTTTTCTCTGGTAACAGTAAGACCAACTCCAATGAAGTTTTTAGAGTGGGTTTGCCAACATGGCACTCATATTTGTTGTTTCCAAGATTGCCATGTTGTTGAACGGTGCTTAATTAAGCAACGGTTCTTCAACTGTTCTTATATTAAAATATTAATTTTATAATATAAAAATTATAATTTAATATAAAATTTTATTTATCATTTTAATTATCATATGAAAATTATAATTACAATATTAAAATATTGATTTTATAATATGAAAACGATATTTTAATTATAAGTTTAAATTATAAGTTTAATTTGAATTTTATTTATTTTATTTTAATTTATTTTAATTTTTAATTTTAATTTTTTTTATTTTATATCAAATTTAATTTAAAACACTAAAATTAACTAAGGAGAGATTGAAATATTTTTTTTAAATTTAATCTAATTTTTTTTAAGTTTATATAGTAGAATGAAATATTTTTCCTTAAAACAACACTATATACCGGTTGGACTATATAGTAGATTGAAATAATTTTCTGTAAAAAAATTAAAATTATTATTTTAAGTGATATAAAATTTAATATGAATAAAATATTAACAATAAAATAAACTTGTGGGACCCAATATGAGTTCTTCAGAATTGCACAATTGGAGTGAAAAATTAGTTGAGTTGCTTCAAGCTGACGTGGCTTAATAGGTCCCACAAAGAACCCAAAAATGAGTTCATGGTTGGAGATGCTCTAAGTCTTCTTTCTTCTTGCCTTGAACTTTCTCCTTTCTTTGATCCTCTCCGTCGCCTACTCCTTCTGACTTCTTCTTTTTAGGTGCAAGGTTCATTTGGATCTTTGATGGTGGATGAGGCTAAGTTCAGAAGCTTAGGGTGTCAATGTGAAACCCTAATTCCAGTTTGTAGCAGTGAGGATTGTTCTCTTAGGGTTATTTTTCTTCATCTAACATCTCTTAATAATTTGTTGACTTAACCTGGTTGCAAGTTGACCAGATGCGTACACTTATTAATAATAATAATAATAATAAAAACAATCCATTGAAAAAGGCCAACTTAAAATCCTAATAATTTGACTTATTAATTAAAGTAGCTAAATATTAATCTGACAAGGTCTCAACCATACAATAACACTCCGCACAAATATTAATACTAATACTCAAAATAATAATAAAAATCTATAATTTAATAATCAAACACTAATTATATTTTAATTAACTAATAATATAGATTAAATAGTGATTTAAAAATTAAAGTGTAAATAAATTCTAACTAATAGTAATATTAATAATTCTACAATAATTATTTGGCTAATTAATATTAATGATAAAAGCTATAATTTAATATTAATTTATTGTTAATAAAAATCTAAGCAATAATAATAATAATGAAAACGACATTTAAGAAAATATTACTGTGATTTTTGGTAAATAATCGTTGGTCTATCAATGATAAATTGACTAACTTGTAGGATCGACTATATTAAGTTCTAGAACATGTGTTAAGAGTGTATGAATTTCCCTTTTCGACTGAATCAAATAAAGAATGACGAGCGCAAGAAAAATGTAAATGTTGTAGAGCTGAAAGTAGAGGTTTTAAAATAACAACTGTAAGGTAAAGGTTAAAAGACTACTGCCAAACTCCGCGTTTGACGTAAATCCTTTGAAAGGTAACGAGCTTTAAAATAAAGATGCAAATAAGTAAATGGTTTTGAAAAATAACTCTAATCAGAACTCCACGTTCGACTAGGAGATCTTTGCGCAGTAAATGAACAAAAAAAATGTAAAGTGCAGTTTGAAATGTGAAGACTGGAAGTTTAAAAGTAACAAGTAAATTGTAAAGGCAAATCACATTGATAATAAAAGGTTTGGTGTTGTATCACGTACATTTTCGTTAACTCGTTTCTCTACACGCGGGTACTCAGAGTGGTATGTACTAGTACTGTAATGAATGAACACCTTTATTACATAAAATTTACATCTATTTATAATGCTAAAAAATAACTTTCTCATGGCAGTTGATGTTTCATGACATGCTCCTTTGGCGCTCTTTCCGTCCTTGTAACTGTTCCCACGTTTTCCACTACTTCGAATTTGAATATTTGGTAGTTTTCCCCCTAATTTTGTCAAACCCACTTCACGCTTTCCTCGCAACAGTCTTTGTCGAGCACTTTCCGACACTTAGCCATTTTCAGCTTCTTTTCATCTCTTTTCGGCTTGAAACTTTTCTTGATTTGGTCGAAACGTTCTTGCATGCCAAGTCTTGAAATCTTTCCCTTCAGATAACTCTGGTCTTCGACTAGCGTCGAAAATTTAGGAGTCAACAAATTGCCCCCAAAAATTGTCCTTTCGACAGTCTTAGGTTGAAAGGTCAGTTTTTTCTTTTTATTTTCGACGCATGTCACTTTGCATGTCTCCACTTTCACCTTAGTGGCCTAACTGTTCAGTTTTTTTTTCTCTCATGCTTATGATGTAACACCCCTTTCTATACTCCAAAAATAATATAATAATTAAACACTTAATCACGTATGCAAAATTTATCAAAGTATTTTAATGCTATGGTATAAAAGAGTGCGTCACATTATACACGATCCGACCACATGAACATTAATGTTTAAAAAGAAATAATTCAAAAGGGATAAATCTCAACTAAAAATAAACGCATAGTTCCTTAAAAACAATCTTCATATTCATGTTTAATTTAAGCGGAAGACTAAAACGTTGAATTACTTAAGACATGATAAAATACATATACACGTCAACAGGTTGTTCACAACATCATCAACAAATACATATATAATGCATTACAAGGATTCCCTACAAGCCTAGCTACCCGATGTTACATATCAGAGCGACCGACTCAAGAGAAAAAGAGCTATACTCCGAAGGAAACCTCCAGCAATCCTAATCTGCAATGCCTCATAGAGCACCATAAAACAGCAGAAGGGTGAGAAACATTACCATAATAATAATGCATATAATTATGTATATAAACAATCATAAAATACATATACGCCACATTTCGCGTCACACTTCATAATCATCACACACACTCACCACTCCCACATCAACATATCATGTGTATACATACATACACTTCTCCTAACATTCACACATACATTACGTTTCATTTATCACAAATCACATAAACATTTATATACATGTTTATTTCACCTATGCATCATATAAAGATGATTATGCAACTCATAGAGACCGACTCACGACTCTATGCAGATGCAAATGCGGTACCGACTCATTCAGCAGATTCTCCAAGGAATCAAATATAACCGTCGCTCACACCCCACAAGGGCGCACGAGGTTCTGCAGATCCTACATGGGATCAAATATAAACTATCGCTCACACCCCACAAGGGCACACGATAATTTCTGCAGATTCTACGCGGAATCAAATATAACCATCGCACCAAGCGAGGTTCTGCAGATCCTACACGGGATCAAGGGTAACCAAACCATCGCTCACACCCCACAAGGGCACACGATAATTTCTGCAGATTCTACGCAGAATCAAGGTAACTAAACCATCGCTCACACCCCACAAGGGCACACGATGATTTCTGCAGATCCTACGCGGGAACAGACTCACAAGAATGCAATCATGATGCTTCACATGCAAGATGACTCAATCAACTATAGACCATCGCTCACACCCCCACAAGGGCACACGATGTCTCTGCAGATCCTACGCGGGATTAATCAATACAAAATGCATAAATGTTCACAAACATACTCATGCATTCATCACATACTACCGCACACATATTCACAAATTTGTTTTTCATCATTTTTCACATTAAACACATACAATGAATCACTCATCAACGTGTACGCTCAATATGCCCCTCGCGATATATTCATCCTATAATCATCATTCACCCCACATCGTTTCATACTCAATTCACTCTCACAACTCACAACTATCGTGCCCAACGACAACACACTCCACCTCATCCATCATGCGTTTTAATCGATTTAAATAAAGAGTCATATATGCCAAAAGGCCACATATTCACAAATAATACATAATCTAGGATTCACGCCATAAGGCTACCCACAACACATCATACCATAGCATATAAACTAATCATTTCATGCTAATATCAAACACCACAACATTGGATGGAAACAGACAAGGCAAAACAAAAGCTGTCATGTTCGCCACCCTTCGCCTGGCGAACCCATTGGCGAACCTTCGCTGCAACGTTCGCCTGACGAACTTGCCAGCGAAGACCATTGGGAGTTATTCTGCAATTATTCGCCAACACTCGCCAGCACACTCGCCTGGCGAACCTTTGCCACGCACATTCGCCTGGCGAACTCGCCAACGAAGACAGGGGAATGGTTCTGACTTGGTTCGCTACCGTTCGCTTGGCGAACCTGCGAGTTCAGAACCTCCATGGCTGTCCAAAAGCCCTAACTTCTCAAA